CTCACTTGTAATACCGCCTTTGCCAAAAATATCTCAGGCATTTTCGCCCAGGCGACGTAAAGCCTGCCTCGTCTGTTTCATGTCTTGCGTGTTCTGAGCTTATGCTGAGCTCACATTTGGTCTGGCAACCTGTGAGTTGCCATTTATTGACGACACCTTCAAAAGACCACCAGCCATTTAAAATCCATCACTAGTTTGAACCACCGATTCTATTATCACACAGCTCTTAAATCAGCCCGCGGTCATGAAATCTCAACTCTGCTTGCTCAGTCCTCGATATTAACAACTTCAAGATGGCATTACCAACTTTAATCGCATTTATGGCCCTCTGACCAAGTTCGCTCAATTCCTCTTGTCATTCTGCGACTGTTTATTTTTTGCATTTTCGCTTATCAATGGCCCACGTCGACGCACCAAACTATTGAACCTGCGGAAGTTTTTTAACGCCCAACACCTTAATATATAATGTGCAGATTCGATGTCCTCAATAATCTTTTTGTATTCGTATTTGTTCCTATACAGTCACAGCAATTGATAGCAACACGAGAACATCCGAACAGTGATCAAAGACTGTGACATCAAACAACAATCCTGCTTAACCCTAAAAAAATAGCAATTTTAGAAGATTTAGCATTTGTAACAATGATAAAACATTCTTTCATTTTCACTTCCGCTATGACCTGCTAAACAAGCGTGTTCGATCATCGAAGTAGCAGTGCCACACAATAAGATCACAGTTTTCGTAGCAAGCAATATGTTTGCATTGGTGGGATCAGAAACTGCACACTCTCTCCCCCATCGCAGTGGATTCATTGTTGAGTACATTAGGCAAAATAATTTCCAGTTACAGACCTGATTTTAAGATCGATTTAACCGCAAATCCAGCTTCATTTAAATCATCTTGCAAGGACTTCAAACAACACACGGATGCATTTACCGGACAATTACTCATAATTCATCTTAGATCTTTCAATTAGCAAGGTGCTTTGGAACCTGTAATGTTTAATACTTGATCCTTTGTTTAAAATCTAAGCGACTAATTGTCCGCGAATTTAAACCTACAACATCATAGTCTGATTTGGGTGGCCAATAAAACCTCACTGGGACCCGACGGCTGGGAGTTGCGTGGACGGCAAGTGGGAGGCAGCTGATTGGCTCCGAGAAGTGGCCAAGCGGTTTGCTGCCGCAGCAGCGACGTCGAATAAAGACTGAGCCACAATGCATACAAGTGAGTCAGATTTTCAGATGCAGGTACGTCCAATAACGGTTAGTGTGCTGCCTAAGGAAAAACATGATATAACAAATACAACCACCCGGACAGACATTTCCAAATATCTTCCAAGTTTTGCTTTCACATCAACCTGCCCAGGTGTAACCTCTAGATAAGAATCAGTACTGCTACTGGAAACTATTCATTTCTGCATGTCCTCGTGGAATCAGGCTAACGCATGTTCTCAGAAACGGTAGACGGGGTTGCTCAATAGTTCAGCTGCCGCCATCACAAGAACCCACGGGGCGCCTGGTACACGATTAGGCGCCTGATCCCATCAACAAGCGACGAATCAGCTCTTTCATCTGCTCCTTCGACTGCTCCGCAAACAGGTAGAGAAGCGTGTTGGAGAAGTAGTGCGCGTGCGAGTTTGGGTAACTCAGCTGATTCGCCATGCAATTGAGCTGGAGGCAGTGACCTGGAGCAATCAAGTAACCACTACTCATTTGACATATCGGAGAAAGACATACTATTATCCTTTGATAACTAGCTAGTGAATAATGTCCATCTGTGGAGTGTGCGCTACCGTTGTTACGTTCAGCGGCTTCCCTGTCTGACGCAGTGTCTTCACTGCCGTGATGCAGATGTACAGAACTACATTCATCGTCAACTCGACGTTGTTTTGGAGATTGGCGAGATGTTGGGTGGCTCGGGCCGAGCAGAGCATTGCGGCGTTGGCCTGTTGGCCACCCGCCTTCCTGCCCTGTGGTGGATGTGGGGCCTCCTGAGCTACCGCCTTACTCCCATTGTGCTCCCCTCTCGTCGCCTCAGTGGTGGCGGTGGCAGCGGCCAGAGCCAAGGTGTAAAGACCGGGAGGATCGATGAGGAATGTGAGGAGAAAGCCGGTGATGCGCACACAGTCACCAGTTCGGAAAGCACTTTGACCGGTGCGTAGCTCGCCACGTACGTGTCGATTTCGCCACAAAGAATGGGTGGCAGTCATTCGCCGGCTTGCATGCAGTAACCCGAAGGATCTTCTTCTTGACTCAGCTGGTCCACGTGTGAGAGAATCAATTTGACCAGAGAATCAATCAACCAAGCATTCTTGCTACTAAGCGGTAAGCACAACGCGAGCAATAACCAGGCCGATTCTAGACAAATGTTGGTGATGTGAACTCACGTTCAAGGGATCAGGTGAGGCAACACATCTTCTAGGTTTTGCAGAAGGAAGTAAATTCCTTAGTTGGAGAGAATTCAATGAGACGATGTTGCCCAACAGCTCACAGTACTCCGTCAGGAAGTCTGGAAATTTGTAGTAAAGGACCAGACACAGACGGAATATGGCTGTGTAGAGGACGGCAATAGGCTCCGGTATCTGAGCACTGTGGAGGTAGAACGAGAGGAATTTGAGTATGTCGACTAGCAGTTGAGCGTAAACAGCACGATAGGCTTCACGTAG